AGATAATTTGATAAAATGGGCAAATAAGAATAAACAACACAAAAGCTGTTTTGGATACTAGTAATAAACCCTATTGAATAGAAATGGAATGAAGATTAATCATGAATTCATGATTAATTCATCCAATGATTCCATTTAATAATGACAAAAGTAGAAATATGTAGGAGTAAATAAAAATTCAAAACAAAAATTAAAAATATTTTTTGGGAAAACTTACAATTTGGGGGCTTATGGGTGGGACTAGGCAATTTTTTTTGAAGATTTTTTTATTTATGCTTACAGAACTGGGGTACAGGCTAGAGGTGTGGTGGGTGAGAGGATTCACCAGAGACAGAGTGGGGAGCAGAACAGGCAGATGGATGAAGTACACTGCTGAGGGGAGCAGTGGGCGGGTCAGAGAGGTCTGCTGTGCCATGTGGGTCAGCTCCCTGACCGGGGATCGAACTGGTGTTGCAGTGGCTTCAGAGAGCTTCATAATGCAGTGCTTTAACCTGTTGTGCCACCAGGGAGAGCCCGGGATTATTTTTATTGATGTAATGTTGGTTTACAGCATTGTTTATGACTCAGGGGTATGGGTTCACACCTCTTCAGACATATGTTGCCTCACCCACAACCTATGCACCAATAACTGTGTGCATTGGTGATACAGTGGGGAGCAGAGCTGCCTTTCAACAAGCCAATACTCCTCCACTGCAGTCCATTCACCCTCTTTTCTCCTTTGCTCCCCCAGCTCCACCCACACCCTCTGGCAGCCTCATTTCTGCAGTCAGAAGTCTGCTATTTGTTTTGGTATAGTTTTGTCTGTTCTTTTGTTTCGTTTCTTTATACGCCACATATGAGTGAAATCACCTGGTGTCTGTCTTGATCCTTTCAACTTATTTTGCACAGTATATCACTCTTCAGTTCTGTTCATGTTGTCACAAGTGGCAAGACGTCATCTTTTTGTAACAGCTGAGTAGTAAACCCTAGTGCAAATATACCACATCTTTTTTATCCACTTACCAGTTCTTGGGCACTTAGATTGTTTCTGTAGCATGGCTATTGTAAATAGTACTGCAATGCACCTAGGAGTTTTTTGTATTCTTCAAATAGATAACTAGGAGTGGAATGGCCGGAGCACATAGATGTGGATTTTCCAGTATTTTGAGACCATCTACACTGTTCATGATAGGGACCGGCCCAGTCTACATTCCCACCAACAGTGTCAGAGGGTTGCTTTTTCCCACACTCTCACCAGCACTTGTTTCTGGTCTTTTTATATGGGCCATTCATTCTCACAGGTGTGAGGTGGTGTCTCACTGCGACTTTGATTTGCATTTCCCTGATGAAAAGTAATGATGAACATTTTTTCATATGCCTGTTTACCATCTGTATGTCTTTGGAGAAGATTTAGATCTTCTGTCTAATTTTTTTTTATTGGGCTATTTGTTTTCTTGTTGTTGAGTTATATGAGTTCTTTGTGGAGCTTGAATATTTCCTCCTACAAAATAGTGATATAATCTGGCTTTTAAAAAAAGTTCCTTCTGACCACTGTGATGAGAACAGACTGGAAGAGGAGAGTGGACAGAGGGGGAAGGTTGGAATGTTGTTGCAAACACCGCGGCAAGGTGGTGGCAGCTTGGGTTCTAAGGATGGCAGCAGAGGTAGAAAGATGCAGATACATTTAAGATGTAAGGGTAGAAGACAGGACCTGGTGAAGATTTGATTGTGAGGAGACAGAGTAGAGGAAATATTGTGGATGCTCTCCGCCCCCCGCCCAGTGTCTGGCATCAGCAACATGAGGGCCTTCACGAGCTATAGAACAGGGAACAGGGGGAGGCACAGGTGGGGCAGGAAGGACTTAATGGGCTCAGTTTTGAACATTCTGAGCTTGCGACACAACTAAGGCAGAACTTTGAATGGGCAGGTGGATGGACGAGTGCGTACCTCAGTGGGGAACCCCACACTGCAGCCAAGTATGGGGATGGCGGCTAGTGAATAAAACCACAGGAGGGGAAAGATTGCTTCAAGAGAGAGACTTGCATGAGCAGAGGAGGCCTCGGGCCTGTGGGGTGCCAGGAGAGGTTGAACTGGGCCAGGAGCAGAAGGGAGCCTGCGAGATGGGAGGAGAATCAGCAGGGCACCGAGAGCTGAGAGCAGAGTGAGCAGTAGAGAGCAATATTTATGTTCCAGTTGGCATCGAGCCCCGTGGGCTGGGCTGGTTAGGAAATAATTCGTTGAAATAGCTGTGCCTAGAGATGGAAAAAAGACTGAATTAGGCAAGGAGGAAGGAGGAAATTCTGGAAGAGGAGGAGGAAGGAGAAAAAGAAAAGACAGAGATGAGAAGGAAAGGGTGTCAGGAAGTCATTTATCTTGTGCAGAAGTAGCGACTTGGGGACTTTCTTTAGTCTGCTCCTGCTTGTCTCGATTTCTCACCTGCCTTTCCTGTGATCCAGTCAATGTGAGACAGGTGTTACACTGGGCAATGCTGCCTCTTGCTTTGCCACTCCAGAACGAGGCCCCTGCAGTCCAAACTTGCCTACTATTTGCAACTAACATCACTCAAGGTGAACTCTGAGGACAGTGTGCTTTGCTGTGGGGGGAGCGCGTTGATTTAATGTTGACTGGAGAGCTCTTTCCTTCTCTCTGACTTTACACACCTCAAAGAACTCAGCTGCAGTGTAATCGAGGCTTTGTCTCTTTTCTTGTGCTCTCTTATAAGTGCAGCACAAACAGGTTTTTGCCTGAAAGACAAGATGCCAGTGTTGTCTTTCCTAAGTGGGTTCATAAATTCAGATTCTTTGGAAAGAGGTGCGTATAATCAGTGTTTGAGCCAGCATTTTGCATGTGCAATGAACAGATGTGGCTGCATTATTCAGTTTCCCTATTTGACTTCTTTACTAAGATGTGCTTCAGAAAATGTGATGCCGATGAACACATCTTCCCAAGTGAAAATAACCCATGCCAAGAGGAGTTTCAAATGTTCCAGTTAACCATTTGTCACGTTGGTTGCTTATTGAGCTCTCTGCCTAAAATGTTATGATGTAGTGTGTCACTTCAACTTTTCCTACTAAATAGGAAATAATTTCTAATTACATCCCATGCAAAATGTTATTAATATTGTAATACATCACTCTACAGTAGAAAATGCTGATTTTCACTCCCCCTTTTATTTTCTTGGTGCTTTTCATATTGCAAAGTGAGCATTGGAGTAAAAATGAGTGCAATGTATGGGAATATATACCTGAATGTATTTTAAAGGATGATTATAAAAATGATAACCTCAGCAATAGCCAGAGTGAATACAGTCTTGCTGTTGTCTGGAAATTTGCTACTTTTTCCTTCCGTAACTTTACTGTTGCGTTCGTGATGTTATTGCTTTTACTTAGAATTTCACCACCTTGTTATCCACCCTCAATAATACAGTTTTGTTTGGCTTGTTTTATCAGACACACACACACACACAATCTGGGATATAGATATATACCTATCTCTATATCATTGTGCGTGTATTTGTGTGTGTGTGTTTTCATGCAAATGCACAAGTCCACAAATCATCTTTAAATTTTGCATTCATAAACATTCCACTGCCTCACTCCAGAGACAGTCCTGCCCTTGTGAGAGGAGCATTCGTTCATCTCTTTTGCTGTTGTTTAACAGCCGTTACTAAGAATATATTCATTTGTGCGCTGCACTGGTGGACATTTTGACTGTTGCTGGCTGTGATCATTTCAAGGCTGATGAGAAAATCCTTTCACCTGTCTCCCAGAATCTTGTATATATAACCAAGATATTTCCATTTTGCTTTTGAGAAGTGACATTCCTTCTCAATAGTTAGTGACAGAACATGCCAACCCAATGCAAACATAATTGTGTTGTAAATCACAGTGTTTTAGATATAGTGAAGTATTGTTTATTTTAAAATGGATCTTCTCCAGACACATACACACTTGACCTAAAAGTGTGGTCAGAGGCATCTGCAGGCAAGATCAGCAGGCAGAACCCAACGCAACTTGTCTCGGCTGTTTCTCCTTCCTCTCCTCCCAGATCCTTTAATTTCATGGGTCTCTTCAAGGGAAATTAAAGTGAATCATGCAAAATAATGTCAAATTGATCAGTCAGGAGTAGACATCACTTCAAGATTTTTCTTGTCTCCAGTCCTAGTTCAGCTACTCTGGTGAGGAGCATGTGAATGGTGAGCTCTATCATACCAGGTGAGCTGATGTGAGTGTCAAGGTCACTGTTTTCATGTGTGTATTGGGTTCCTCCTCTCTGAATTACTTGAAACACATATCCGGGAGATAGCCATCCCTAGCATTTCCTTCACATGCCTTGCGACAGAATATGCTGATCAAAACATCTTTAGTTCATTTATTGAACAGTTTTGACATCCAAGTGTTCCATCAGCTTTTGTTGCAAGCATCAATAAAGTAGCAAAATTGTACTTATTTAATTAGCATATTAATTATGAAAATGACCAGCTGTCCAGCTTTCATCGTTATCATTAGTAGTTTTAAGATAATTCTACCTCTGTTTGTTTGCTTTAGTGAAATAATTGCACCTCACTGAAATACATTTGTATGGTGACAACAATTAATTTAATTAGAATTTATTTTTCTTTTATTAAGCTGAGTTGTCTTAAGAGTGTGTGCTTTGGGACAAACAACCGATGATAAATTGGAATTTCGCTTTCTGGGCCCCTTACTTGTGTAATAAAGAGTGCCTTCCCAGCATGGATCAAAAGTCTTATCAGGACAAACTAGTGAGGAAATATGGAAATCTAACTTAATTATAAAAGACATTTTAAATGAGAGCAGTGTATCTAAAGTGGCTGTTATGTTTTATGTTTGTACTTATTTTGCACATATTACCATTTAATCAACGATAAAATTGGGAAAACTTTAGTTACACTAATAGTTGGATATAGTTACATAAGAGTTTTTAAAAGCACAGTTTGCAGTAGTAAAAGGTACTCCTTTAAATCCAAACTTTATGCAAGATTCTTTATAGAATTTAGTTTTCAGATCAGGCAGCCATTCCAGAAAAGGGAGATACATTTTTTTCCATACACGGGGTCTTCATTAAAGCTCATCCGTTCTTTGGCTTCGGTTTCTTAGCAGCTACATCACACTTCACATAGGTTTTCTCCTGGGTTGGGTGAAGTTGTAGGTCATTCATATTTTGTGAGCAAAATGTCATTCTGAATAGAAAACATAAAGCAAAGGTAATATTAAGTTTTAGAGGGAGCTTAGTGAAGTGCTTCATCCTGTGTTAAATCCTCAATTGATGGAGTGCCTGCTATTTGAATTTTTAAAATTAGATTCTTATGTTTGCAAATATTTTCATAAACTGAGAAAAAAACGAAACTCAACTCAGGGAGAGCAATCAGTGTGACTTCCTGGAGCTCTGCACTGGGGTGATTTCAGTTCTGTAAGAGCTGAGAGTCTTGGGCTTTCTCCCATACAACTGCTCAGCAAGATTTGGGGGTAACTTGTTTCTTTCCTTACAAAGCCCTGGCTCTGGGGCAACATTCTCAACTTCTTCAGTTGTTCCTCACCAGGCAGGCTTCACTGCCCACTTTTCCTTCTTTGCATGTGCTCCAATTTGTCAGTGCCCTACCTGAAGCTGTTGTCACCAGCCTCTTCTCTTCTCAGCCATGTAAACCCCTGCCCTGCCCCCTCACTCATGCAGATGCTCCAGCTAAAGAGGACATGCCCATGTGTTTTGGGTTTCTTTAGAGACCCACTACTAGCTTGCTTTCAGTGCTTATGAACTTGGCCTGGGGTGCTATTTTGTGTTACAAACTCCAGTGTCCCCTATTAGGAAAATATTAGCAGTGGTCAAAGAGAATTCTAGTTGATGACTTCTTTTTTCTCGGAACTGCATCTATGGTCAAGTGTTTGCTAAATTAGGCCTTAAAAAAAAAAAAAAACCAGTACTATGAGTTATGTATGAATGCATTCTTGAAAGTTCAAATAGTAAAGCAATTTAATCAGAGACAAAAATTGGGAGAATTTTAGCTGTAGTAATATCTGCATATAGTCACATAATATAGCTTTTAAAAAGTTCAGTTTATAATTGTGAAATGTACTTCTGCTTTAAATGCAAACCTTATTTAAACTTTATGAACAACTGTATAATTTTGGTTTTCAGATCAGCCAAACATTCTAGGCAAGGAGACCAAATATTAAAGATCCCATTCTCCATCATACTTTACCAATATCACTCTTCCATGTTTTCATGGTTTGGTCTAGGTTTTTCCAGATCCGTTTCTATGCATTTATTCATTGTTGATATTCATATGACATAAAGGTTTTCACATGTATTTCCCTTGTCATCAAACAATATACTTGAAGATGTGTTCGCAAAAGTACATATCAATCATTTCCATTCCCTTTCACTTGCTGTATAGCATTCCATTGAGGGACTATTGAGATTTTCCCAATGGTTTATTATATTTACAAACAGTACTGCAACACACACACACACACACACACACACATTTGTGGACTTCTGAGTCTTTCTTCAGGAGAGACATCTAGAAGTAAAATTCTGGGTCAGAGTATTAAGCAGCTTTAACATTTTGATATGTAATCTCCATGAGGCCATGGACTTTGTCTCCTCCCTTCTCTGCTATATAGTAGGTGCCCATAACAGTGCCTGACAACAAAAGGTCCCCAGTAAGTGTTAATTGTTGAATGAAGTTCCCTGGCAGGAGCTCTGTAATTTATACTCCTACTCACTGCCTGAGACTGTCCACTTTTCCACAGCTTTACTGGCCTGCCCAACTAGTGGGTGACTGATGAGCATTTTATTGGCTGTTTTGCACTTCTCCAATGACTGAAAATCACACACATCTCATCACATTCATCCAAGTCACTTTCTCATGTACTGCTCCAGAGTCAAACTCTTCTGCTCCCTCTCTGCACCCCACAACAAACTCTCTACCCCTAATTTTTGTGCCTTTGGAGGAAGAAAGCCACCAGTCATAGAATCCCTTCCAGCAAGTTTTTTTTTAGTTAGCAGAGATGAGTGAAAGCTTAAGTGTCTGTATCCTAGCGCTGGGAGTTTGGTCTGGTAGGTGTTTTTAGTCTCATGAGCTACATATTGCAATTCCCACTTGAGTCTCAGAGAGGTGCAGTATTGTCTGAGGCTACATAGGTGTGAAGCAGTGAAGTTTAGGATTGGCCGACGACACGCTGAGTTCACTAGCGTCTGCCTGCATGCTGCTTTGTGGCCACCTGTCTCTCTGAGAATGCTTTGGGGCCTAGCAACACAGCCCCAATAGCACCAAGGTGAACTGTCTTTTTTCTTAGACTTTCTAGAGCCTGCAGCATTAGACCTGCACTATTGGAATTGTGGTGTATGGACCAGCAGCTCCAGCAGCAACTGGGAGCTTGTTAGTAATGCAGCATCGCAGCCCCACCCCCACCTACTGAAGCAGAACCTGCATTTTAACACAACTCCCAGATGATTTGTGAGCACATTAAGGCTTGAGAAGTCCTGGGAAGGAGCGGATCATTAGCAAAATTAATGGATTTCGTTTTCTTAATGAGGTTCCAGGGTTTCTTTAGGTCAAGCGCCACAACACAGATTTGTTTTTGGTTCCCCCAGTGGGACCATGAAGACACAGAGGAGGCACTGACTACTCACCACTTAAGAAACTATAGGTCCCTCCTCCAACCTTGAGGGAGAGGTTGAGGTGCACATGTCATAATAACCAGCACTGCAACCTGGCTAGAAGAGACTCAGGGAAGGTAGACTTATGAGGCCAAGACTGTCGGGGGAAGGAATGCTTGCAAACCGTGGGCAGATTGCAAGTGGGCAAGGAACTGCACAAACTCCAGTTGGAACTGGGATAGGTCGATGATGAGCCATGCATGAGCTCATGCAGTGAGACTTCTGTAAGTCTTGGGTTCCCAATCTGCACAGCCAAGACCAGAAAGCTCTTGGGGAGAGGACATGAGACTTATGCCCTGAGCCGCTTGCCAGTCCCCTCTGCAGCAGGAGCTTGGAGTGCCCTCACCTTCCCTCTCCTCCTGCCTTCCTCACAGTCCTGTGACTTCACCAGAGGGGAAGATGGCGGGGTGTTTCTACAGGTCATGTGGACTTGTCATGGTAACCAGCCTCTAAATCTGAGGAATGACTCTCTAGCTGAGAGGATGCACAGAGAGGAGGCTCAGAAGTACAGTTCTTGTAAAAGGTCAAAAAGTCATGCAAGAATAGTGCGGTGTACAAGAGGAGAAAAGCAGTTTAATTTTCTCAGATTGATCATGTGGAGAAATCTGTTGGCAGACTGCAGAGCATGCTCTTAGTAATTGCCAGGATTTTGTATCCCAGGGAGCTAAAAATCTCAGAGTGCGGTTGTAGAAGGGGCACAGGGAGCATAAATCTGTCATGGGTCCGCACCTGGCGGTGAAACCTGAAGACAGGGAGGAGTGTGGTTCAGAGGTGAGAGGCCTGTGGCTTCCCATCTCTACAGGGGACAAGCCAAAGACAGAAATGGACTTCCCAAAAAGGAAAGTGGGGAGGAGAAAAAAGTTTCCTGAATATGGGGGCCTGGGGAGATAGGAAAAGGCCTTGGGAAGGACAGAAATTTCCTTTCATGGAGACCTGCAGGATGATAGACAAGCATGGTGGCCAGAGCCAAAGTTTGGGCATCCCTTTGCTTTCTGAGGTGATTTTGGGGCAGCAGATCCCCTGGCCTTTCTTCACCTCTGCACCCCACTCCGGACCACCCCCCTACCTCACCTCCCATGCCCCCACCCAACCTTTTACTTTCCAGGGGACTTTGGAACCAAGGAAATGCTAAATCACACAGTGCTTTTCACAGGGAATCCACTGGGTCATGGCAGATTTTCTTAGGGTTCTCATTAACAAATGTGCATCCTGGGTCCCTTCACAGACCACAATGAATCAGAGGCACTGCAGGTGGGGCCAAGAAATCTGCATTTATAATAAGCTTCCCAGTGATTCTCTGGCACTCTAAGACTTGAAAGGCACCACCCAGAGTGAGGTTTTGAGACTGTGTTCTGTTAAAAGCATTTCAGTGGGTAAACATCAAAGAGAGGTTGCATCTAGATCCCTGCCATTCAGAGTATGGTGCTCGGACCAGCAGCACTGAAATCCCTTGTGGGTCAGCTGCTCCCTGCGTCTGAGGAGCACTGGGTGAGCACCGTGGTTCTTAAACTCTGAGGCAGGTAGCTGTTAACCAAGGACAGTGGGAACAGGTTAGACTGGGACTTGGGAGAACTGGGTGCAAATTTTGACCTACTGATGGCTGTGAATGTATTTTACTTTTCAACATCTACACTTCACCATCAGGACATACCTCCACAGCAAGTATTAAGCTGTGAAAGTGGTCCCGCTTCACAGGTGCTGGGGGAGGCCGGTCAGCACTCACCTTTGCTGTGTCTCTCCTGCTTTGACTCTGATGCTCTTCAGAATGAGGCCTGAGTAGAGGGACCTCTTGCCCCACGGGAAGATAGTCTGGATGGTGTTCCAGACATTGGCCCATACTGCGCTGTTTTCCCACTTGAACTTGATCATGATTAATGTGCCGATATCCGAGTCCAATGTGATAAGAAAGGAGTAAGTTTTATTACTAATAATTCCTTCACCCCTGGAAGAGACAAAAAGAAACCAGGAATAGTCAGTTTATTTATAACAGCAAGACCCACGCTATTCTGGTATATTCAAGGTTTTAGGCTTTCCTGAGTGACTTGGGGTGTTGTATTTGCTGCATCTTCCAAACTGTGTTGGACATACTACGAATAGAGACAGCAAGAGGTGTACTAGGAAAAAAAGGGTTTTCTGTCCAGTAATACTGGGAAAACAGTATTATTTTTCTATGTTAGCATATTAAAAAGGCTCCGAGAGTTTTGCAATAGTGAATCTAGTTAACTTTGTTCAGCTCAGACTTTGTAGTCTGACTTTTGTAGTCCACAAAGTTTAATACCGACTTTGTTTAGCTCAGACTTTGTAGTCTTCAGGTTAACAAATCAGGAAAATTGCCTTGGGAGAGACAGGCTTTGACAGTGACTTCAGGACAGCTTGGCTCTCCATAGGTTAAATCAATACTGTACGCCTCCACCACAATCTCTGCTCTCGATGAATGCTTCCCTCGACCCGCATATAAAAAGAAACTTCTATTAAAACAACAAAGTGTAACAGTAACAGAGACCCACATATAAAAAGGAGGCACCGATTTGGGGCAAGACGCACATCTATATCACTATCAATGTTACTCACTAATCTCTAAAACATTAAAATGTCCCTACTTGAGAGAGCATCCAGGTCCCTTTGTATGATTAGAACATACAAACATTTCTGTGGAGAAATCTGGGACGGTGCAGAGGTAAAAGGATCGGGGTAGGGCAGGTGGGTGGAAAGTTCCCCTGCTCAGTTCAGCACAGCTCTTCCTGCAGTATGTTATAAAAAGTTGCTTAGAAGTTGTTCCAAACCATTAGACTTAATGATGAGCATCTTAAGGATAAGGTCCTGGCCACCTCTCATGCGGAGCGGGGAAATTCTTGCTGAATAATTGAATCAGTGTGATGGACAGAGATTCAAAGTTGGGAGGAATATCCCCAAGTGGGTAAAGGGTTAGCGTCATTTCTGAGGGAGAGCCCATGCTGAGGGTCAACATGCTAAGAAAAAGTCCCCTTGGGCCTGCTTCCGGCGAGGAAAGCTGGGGAGCCCCCGAGTGGGCGCTGAGATCTTTGCTTACGTTGTGAGCAGGTGCAGCACAGTGAAGGGCTGGCAGTAAGGCCTGACTGGAATGGAAGACTTGTACCAAGTTCAATGGTATGGATTTTATTCTGGGTCATGGTTTTCAGAACTCACTGGAAAGACTGTCAGGGTCTTTGTGTGGACACCTGTTCTGGCCCTCGCCATCCCCCTTGCTGTGCCATGGCTGACTTCCCTCTCTGCTCAGCTGATGTGGCATGGGTCCATCACATACATGGGAGGTGCCAACATAAAGCAAAGTGAGGCCAGGAGGGATGACAAAGCCCTGGACGTTGGAGGTTTTCCCATCTGGCAAGGTGTTTGGGGTGGTATAGTGGGCTGAGAAGAGTAAGTTATGTCTGGTCTGACCCTAGAAAAGTATGGAGCCTGTCCAGGCCCCCTGAGAAAATGAGGCATGTCCTCACCACAGTCTGGGCTGCTCTGAATACTCACAGAGTGATGGGAATTTTTTGTACTTCACTGTTTGTTCCGAAGAGTGACATGGTAAATGTCGGTTCTACTGGTTTCTCAATTTGTTTGATGAACTGCATCTTGAACTGGTAATGATAAACTAGAGGGGGTTAGGGGGAAGGGAGAGAGAAAGAATTTAAACAAGTATTTTTAATTAAAAATATCATATTTTTACATTTTATTAAATATTTTTAAAATTTACTTATGCATATAAGAACTGGGGTATAGGATGTGTATTGCCATTTAGCCAGATGGAAATCACCTCTAAGAATCCAAGACTTGAGTTCCAAACTTTGCTGTAAGAGAATTTCTACTGGAAAGCATAGATCATGAAACTAGTCCTTGATCACTGTCCCATACACCAGACAGGTGGACATTCACCATCCTGTGAACCAGTCTGCTAACTCTCAAATGGTGCTTTTTCATGGAAGGTTTGTAGCTACATACAAACCCAGCAGCAGCTGTTGCAAATGAGGTGTTGCCAGCACCCCAGCTGCAGTGTCCTGGTGTGTCTGGATACCATGTTTCTGGATCATTTACACAAACCTGTCCTTTGGCAGAAACCAGTCTTCCCATTTGGGTTTTCTGATAGATTGGCTCATGTGCCTGATATCCCTTGGGCTTACTTAAGGGGCTGTGTGAAGCACCAAATACTTATTTATGATCACAACAAGACCCAAACATTAAGAGTTGATTTGTAGGCCAGTTCACATCAACGAAGTAGTTGGTTCGCACAGCACCTGACATCCAGGCCAGTGCGGCCTACCTAATAAATGTTCAAACTTTGAAGCCCGGAATACAGTAGTTTACTCTCTCAAGACTTTAAATGAGAAATAAGAGGGGGAATGTGGACCCAAGTTGAGGCAGGAAGCCCTAACCCTGAGTGGCAGCAGTGAAGACTGGACTCTTCTTTTCCCAGAAGCCCCTGGATAGGTCTTACATTAGACAAGAACACTCAGGGGAAGTAACAAGCAGCGTTCTAAGTTGAACTGAGGCAGATAGGAAAGGTTCTTTCAAAGACCATAGGCCTGGTGGCAGGGTGGGGAGAATGTGGAGGGAGGAGTAGGGAGGATGGCTTTCTGTTTGACCTCCTAACTAGGCACATTCATAACAAATTTTCAACTCAGTTTAATATGTATTAATTGGATATCTGTCTGGATTCAGTCCAGTGCTAAAAACACTTGGGGATAAACAAGTGAGTATAAATTGGCAGAATGTGTGATAACGACATTTATTTATTACATTTATTTATTTTGTTTATCTATGAGAGGTTCTTTGCTCATTTAATCCTTAAAACAGGTGATAGACTATTATCTCTCTTTTTAGATGAGAGGTAGTTGAATCACAGAGAGGTTACCTGACTTTTCCAGGGTCACAGAGTTAGCAGCATAAATAGGATGTAAGCCCAGGCCCTCTAACTCCAGGACTGAACTCTTAAATGTTTATTCCTGGGACCCATAGCTTATGCATTCCAAATAAAAAATTGAAGTGTGGATAGAAATTTAAGTTAAAAAATGTCATAGTAGAATTATTTAATTAAAAACAAACCAGAACACTCTTAAGTATTCACTACTGAGGGATGACCGTGGACTAATAATGACAATTACGATGACTACTACTTAGTCCTTAACTGTATCCCAGATGCTGAGCTAATGGTTTCACATAATTATCTCATTTCTCTTTACAACAACTTTGTAAGATGCCTACTTTCCCTCCCGTCTGCATCATTTTACAAATGAAGAAGCTGAAGCTCCAGAAAGTTAAGTAACTTGTCCACTGTCACGCCGCGAAGCAGTGAGGCAGCAATTAGATGTTCGTCTGCATACTCTGAGTTCATATTCCCAACCATGTGATTTACTTTTATGAAAGTCATTAAGATATTTTTGGAATGATTTCAATGCTTATGAAAGCAGTAGGAAAAAAAAAAACAAAAACAAAGAACAACCAGGATACAAATTTTATATCTAGTATGAAACAAACTGGGAGCCTATAAAACAGGATGTGAGGAAGAGATGGATTCACCAGAATTTTGATAGAGCTTATCTCTGGAGAGGGGAGAGAGGTAATTTTTATTCTCTTCTTTATGCTTTTCTGCAAGTCCTGCATATTCCACAATAAGCATGCATTCTAATTAGAATCTTATTGGACAAAGAAAGTGCTTTAAGAAGTATTCAGAAAGAAAACAAAAGAAGCTGCAATCCTAACCTTGGAGGACCTTACAGCTGGGAAGCAGAATGGCTGCCGTGACCCTTGTGACCTTCTGCTTTATCTCAGGACATCAATGTCCTTGTCTTATCATCCTGAGGTGAGTCTGGGGTCTTAACACTGTTGTATCTCCACAGTCATTGCATACCCCAGGCAGCAAAGAGAGCTGCAGGGACTCTTCGGGTGAAAACAAGGCAGGACATATTTGCATTAAAGCCTCTAATTGCGAATTGGAATAATGACAAATAGCTTCCATTTGTTGAGATCCTACTGTTACAGGAATCCAAATCTGTTACAGGACAGGGAGAGAGGGGCACCCCTGAAGTCCCAAACCTGCCTGCTCTAAGTGGGTTCTGTCATCTGCCGCGTCAAGACAAAACATATAAAACTTTAATGAAAAGGGGCTTTAATACAGTAAATATACAATATGGAACACAAAGAATATAACTTCTAAATCAAACATCTGAATTTACCCATCCCCTTGTGGGCCATCCCCAAAAGGGGTTGGCCCAAAGCAAGGCCTGAAAGCTGCCACAAGACTAAAGCACCGTCTGGCTGGAACCCATGGAAAAGGGTCAGAAATGGCCAGACAAGTCTGGGAGGAAAAAGCAAAATCAAAATCAATATAAACACTGCCACAGTCACCTCCCTACAGGTATCTCACCCACATCTGCCTTAACCAGCCCAGGACCAGGAAACAAGCCCGGTTTCTTCATCACATGCTTGCTGCTCCATGTGGCTTCCTCAGATCTCCTTCTGGCTCTCCATCCCGCTTCCTTCTCTTTCTTCTCCCCTCTGATTCCTCCTTCTCTTCTCTCCTTTTCCTCTGCTCAGCTCCTGAGGGAACCTCAGGGAACCTGGAACCTCCCCTCTTCCTAGGGACCACCCTGTTACACTACTATGCATCAGGCAACAAAATGAGTGTTTACAATTATTCGTAGATCCTCATAACAAGATGACTGAGGACCACCTGTGGATCTGACTCCATGTTCTACACCTGCCCTTATTCCCAGGCCACTCTCAGCCCAGCTGGCAACCCTAGGCTTTGTGCTCACGGCCTACTTCTCCCAGGCTCCATTGCCAGATGGTTCTGCTTGGGTTTGATCATTGAGAGGGCAGCAGCAGGAGATCAGGGAAGAGCAGAGTGAGGTCAGGGTATTTTTTCTGTATTCCTTCCTCTTTGAAGTCTGACTCTGTAGCAACTGCTCCCCAAGATTAGCTGCCGTTGGCAACTCCTCCACCCCCAGCTCCAGTTCTTCTGTTAGCCAGCCCTTTCACTCCTTCCTGCCAGCTGTTAGACTGGGGTGTGTCGACACCTTCTGTAGGTTTCCTTACTACTGGCCACCCTCTGTAAGGAGCCCAACAGAGCTCTTCAGCTGACAGGCAAATGCAGTCCTGTCTTCTGCTGAGACCTGCACAGATAAGGGGTCAATTATCCTGGTGAATTACAGAGACTTGGATATGGGTCCACAGTTGCCCAGATAGAAGCAGAGCTTGATTCCAAAAGGCCTTACCCACTGTATCCTGGGATTCTGGTTTTGCAAGCCCGACCTGCGTTTTGAATGAAAATGCAAACACCCAGCCAGCCCCTGCAGAAAAGCTGCAGTCAAAACTGCCTTGAAATGAGCCACTCGGACAAAACTCCTCTGGCTCTGACCAGTGACACCTGTCCTGGGCCGTCACTGCTGTACTCTACGCCTCCTGTATCCTGTCAGGCCCAGCAGCAGGAATGGTTTTGCCTTCCATTTTTCTCAAGTGTGAGGAAGAGGAGATGGATTTCCAAGTCTGAGCTGCCACGGATCTGTGATTGTGAAGGCACGCTGTAAAATCCAGGGCAACGTGGATGCCAGTGGAACCTTTAGCTCTCACGGCCTCTGATGAGGAAGACCAGGGCCTTAGGGGCCTCTCTGGGACCTGAGAGGGAGCTCTGTAAGGGCAGAAGCCTTGAGGATCCCTGCAGCTTGAAAAAGAGGTATGGGCTGTGGAAGGGGCACAAAGCTGAGGGAGCAGGACACCCTTGTTTTTGCCGGACACACTTGGAAAACAGGTAACAGGGACTGCCTCTGCTTGAAAGTCTCTACTGGGGAGAAATCTTGAGATGAAGTGAATTTTTTTTTTAAAGATTTATTTATTTATGCATACAGAACTGGGGTACAGGCCAGAGGCTCAGGGGCGGCGAGAGGCTTCACCAGAGACAGAGTAGGGAGCAGAACAGGCAGCTTGACAAAATACACTGAGGGGAGCAGCAGGCAGGTCAGGAGAGGTCTGCCACACCATGTGGTCACCTCTGGGGCAGGCGGGAATTGAACTCATGCGCAAGTGGCTTTAGCTTCTCAGTGCCGTGCCTTAACCTGCTGCACCACCAGGGAGGGCCAAGATGAAGTGAAATTTTAAAGAATGTGAAAGAGTCTTTCATACTGGGAACTACTTATTCTTAAAAAAAAAAAAAAAAAGACAAAGGACAGTTGACCTCTCACATTCTCTCCCTCCTTCCCCCCTTCCCCAACTCTAGGACAATGATGCTGTTAGAAAGATTAGGGGAAAAATCTGAGTAATTTTGCTCACTTTACCTTATGACATGCTTAATAAGGATTTAAAAAAAGGACTCAGAGAAAATGCTTTTGATCCTGAAACTGCGAACAGGCTGGCACAGCGCATTCCTCAGTTCAGGCAGGAGAATTATTTTAGGTCTTAAAGATGAAGAGCATGAAATAGTCCATTAACCCTGAATGAGAGCAGGCAAACTCCCCTAGAGCAGAGATGGGAGGCCTCTGGAAATTCTTCTCACTAGAGAGCCTGTTTAGGGTTCAGATAACCTAAAGACTCTGGAATCTTATCTCATGTGGACCCCACTGGTGCCACTTAAAAAAATAAAAAAGGTTAAGTTTCTTTTCA